CCGCCGCGCGGGGGGTGGTGGGAGATGGAGGCTTTTTTGCCTGGGGTGGCAAAAAAGCCAGAGCCGGCCCTGTCTCTATGCTAACTGTAGGAGCATCACATGGAGGCCTGTCAAGGTTAATGTATGCTTTCTAAGGATTTTTTTTTCTTCATGAAAGGTAGTGAGTGATATCCTTGCACTCATGGCCAGATTTTTCCCATTGGAGGTGTAGGTTCTCAGGCCAGAACTTGTCTATGGTGCCTATAACTTGGTTAGTACTACTTGACAAACCAACTTGTTGACTGGTTGTTAAGTCATCATGCTGGGCTTCTTTCTGGGTGTTCCCTGAACTTCTAGCTTGCACAGTTTGCCTGTTGTGTGGATTTGTAATATGAATTGAGCACTGGAACTGAACAGAAACATCAAAACCATCTTTCATTGGAGGCTGGTGTTTGGATTTTGGCTGTGGTCTGAAAGGTAAAGTACAGTAAATACACTGATCCAATCAGAACCAAATTTACAAATGTGTGTGTCTCATTGAGTGCCTTTATAAAGATGTGCCCATCCTCACACTGCTGGGTGTGTGTAGAGTATATAATAAAGTGTATATGTCAATGAAAATAATTTCCTTCCCTCTCTTCCCACGCATCCCCGCAATGTATTACCTTTCTGATCACCGCCTGAGTTCATCTGACTCAGTCATTCCCCTAAGTGTAAGTAAAACTTGAGTAAATAAATAGAGCTTGTACTTTATGTTGAAGGTCAACAAACTTGGGCTTTGCCTGACCAACATGGAAAGCTGATTCCAGAGTCTCCCTGATCTAAGGACTTCACAAATACTTTCTGTCCAACACATTTATTGTGGCCCATTGGGCATGGGATAAGGAAACACTGCCTACAGTAGTGACGATTATTGACATTTTGGAGACTGTCCATCATATCCGTTTTTCACAGGATTAAACTTGTAAGGCAAATGTGTGTGTTTGTTTATACCCCCTTCCTCAGGCAGCATGATATAGTGAATCTGGCACTGGATTAGAAGTCAAGTAACTAGAGTTCTCTTTAAAGCTCTAACTATCTCACTGTATAATCTTGGGCAAGTCATTTGAACTGTCTATGCCTCAGCCTCTCCCTGTTTAAAATGGGGATAATATTGCTTATCCATCTTTGTTACTTTTCCTCCATAAATGTCGAAGCATGTATGTAAGCAATAGAAATTATTTTAGACACAAAAGCTGTTCTTATGCACTTAACTATAGTGTGTTCTCAATTTGTAGATCACATCTTAGCAAGAAAATTGTTACTCTAGTGGAAATGCTCTGTAGGCACGGTGTGCAGCATAACTTTAATTCATGCCATGAAGGTCACTCTTTTCTGCCCAACTATTACTTCTCATCAAGGGAAAGGCTTTTTAAAAAGAGTACATTTAACTCCCTAAAGTGTTTCAGATGATATTATTATTTATTTAGATTATGCTCCCAGTTGAGACTATGCAGACACAAAAAAATTAACCAGTTCACCTTTTCAGGATTGGGAAATCATTCCTGTCGAACAAAAAGTCTGATAAGATGATAGGGGAAATCTGGATCCAGGATACCATAATCTACTTAGGCCTGGAGAAAAGGAACAATTGATTTATCAGGTATGGAACTGTAGCTGCACCAGTAGTTTGGGTCATATTTTGAAATAAGGCCCACATAGGTCTGAGTGAAAATCCAGCTGCCATGTTTTGTGCAGCTCCATGAGTGACATTTTTGGAAAGTGAAAGAATTAATGGATTTCCCCTTCAAGATCAGCTTGAGCATTGGGAATAGGTATGGGGGAGGTAGGAGCCTATTTTCTGCACACTTTAGAAGTAAAGATCAAGGGAGCCTGAGGACTGGGGTATTACAAGGGATCGAGAGCCACCAGAAGGTAGAAGGATATTTTGTAGGGGGGAGAGTCTGGAAGAGAGATTGTTAGGGTGGGGAGAGCCTGGAGGATTTCTGGGGCAGTGGTGCAACCTAGATGTGGTGGGTGGATGGGGAAAGCCGGGGGGAGGGTTGCTGGGAGACCATGGAACCGTGGGGATGTGCAAGGAAATTGGGGCAGTTGGATGCATGAAAAATAGCTGGGCTATGTGCAGACATTTGAGCACTGCCAAATGTGAGTGTGTCATGCAAGATGCAGTGGTGCCAGGAGGGCAGGGGACCATGGCCCTCCCACTTTTTGAAAATGGATGGGCCTGGCTCGTCTACTTTTTGCTGGGGCGGGGGTGGGGCCTGTCCACCTGGCCAAGCCAGCATGCAGCCTGGATGGGGACAGGAGTCCGGGCAGTTGTGCGAGCCACACATGTGGACCCTCCACCTGCCCGCGGTACGGGAGGGCTGACAGCAGCCCCTGGTCTATCTCACTGCCCGACCCAA